CTGTACAGTAGAGTTGCAGAGGATTCCGAAGTTGTCTGGAGGCCGTGGTTGAAGCCAATGGCGGTTTTATTCAATAAATTTACTCTTTAGTAGTTCAAGATATTTTTGTGTAATTTTGGTAAATATATCTGTTAAAATGAGATGGCATTGTTATTTTAATTTCTGCGTAATTTAAACAGCAACTTATTCATTGCATCCTATATATATATATATATATATATATATATATATATATATATATATATATATATATGTCGAAAAAATAAAATATCGATTTTTTCTTCCTTTCTTTTCTCTTTTTTTCAATTTGCCAGTCAATTATGTACGCACAAAAAGTGAAAGTTAAGAACTCCATGATTCAAAATGATGATATACAAAATGATGAAATACACAATTTAACGGAACTAGTATTTTTAGAAACACGCTGACACGTGTAAAAAATCTACACAGTATATTTAGTATTCTTGAAATTATCGCTAACTTTTTTTGTCGAGATTTACAAAACTCTGCGTTTCGTTCAGTTTAGCAAACCAATCGGTGAAATTTGAATAAGCTGGTTTGTCTTGAAAAATACTTGGGCAAAAATCCCTACTTTGCGGTGCTTAAGCACCCTAGTAAAACCAACTGTAATTTTTACCCCCAGATTGAGGAATCGCAGAGCCGAGTTCGAATTCCAGTCGAATCCGTTACATTCACTTACATGCTAATACCCTTGGGAAAGGTGTGAATCCTCTTCTTCTCCCTCCAGCTATGGGTAAATAGCAGGACAGACTGGGTTCTCTGACCTTGGATGGCAACTGGTCCACTGAAGAAAGAAATGGCAACCTACTGCAGGAAAAAATCTGCCTCGTCAGTCATGTATCAAAAGATACATGATCACCTAAACGTGTATCATGCATGGCACATAACTGACAGTATACCAACTTCAAAAATTTTCTTACTGGTCAGTATTGGCTTATTACCATAATTCCCAACCCCCTTTTCATTGCAATTTGTAATAGAGTTCTCTATTTATTAATGGGAGGCACGGTGGAGTAATGGATGAGGAATCGGAGAGCCGAGTTCGAATTCCAGTCGAATCCGTTACATTCACTTACCTGCTAATACTCTTGGGAAAGATATGAATCCTCTTCTTCTCCCCCCTCCAGCTACGTGTAAATAACAGGGCAAACCGTGTTCTATAGCCTTGGATGGCGACTGGTCTACCTCAGAAAGAAATGGCAACCTACTGCGGGAAAAATCTGCCTCGTCAGTCATGTATCAAAAGATACATGACCGCTTTGGCGTGTATCACGCATGGCACATTACTGACTGGCCTGTTTGCATTTCTCACCAAAATTTGGTTCCGATCGGTCAATTTATAGCTATTTTAGAGGCTGTGACGGACAGACTAAAGGAAGTCACGGAATTTTATATATAGATAGATGACCGTGTGATATCATAAAAAACTGGGGATAATATTATGATGACTGAATAATGATGCTATGAATGTATATGAATAAAAGAAAGAACTTGTCAAAAAATGATAGAAACATTTGCATTCGCTTAAAATTAAAGAATGTACAATGTAGTTAAAAGGGTTTCAAGTCATAAAATGAGAGGGGGAAACACTTTGATGCTGAGATGCTGCTGCTGTTGCTGCTATGTATTCATATAAATGAATGATTCTATCATAAATATTGGAATCTTTTCATTAACCTAATAACTTCAAGACATCTTTTCAAATTGTTCCTCGCTATAGATAGTTTCTTGCTTATAACGCAATCAGTCTGTGTTGGCGCAATTTTAAGCTTGTGAAAAAATAAGTAATTTCTTACTTAGGTGATTATACGATAAAATGGCGGTCTTTCTTGCACTTTTAATGGCTACCGGAAGTTCAATATCCGTTCAGGATATAATTGTTGGAATTGTTAGTAACTAGGATAAATGAAGACTTGTTTGTGAGTTAATAGATATTGTTACTGATTTGATAGACAAGAATTGTAAAAAAAAAAGGTGGGGGAGAAGAATTAATATAAATCAAGAAGCAAAGATGCACATAAATCGAAGATAAGAGAAAGAAGAGAAAGAAAGAAAGAAAGAAAGAAGCGAATGAAAGAGGATAAAAAGAAGAGAAAAAAGAAGAAAAAGTAAGAAGAGAAAGAAAAAGAAAGAAGAGAAAGAAAAAGATAACGAAGAGAAAAAAGAAGAGAAAAAGAAGAGAACGAAAGAAGGGGAAAAGAAGAGAAAAAGGAAGAGAAAGAAATAAGAGAAAAAGAGAAAGAAAGAAGAGAAGGAAAGTGAAAAAGAAGAGAAAGAAAGAATAGAAAAAGAAAGAGAGTGAAAGAAGAGAAAAAGGAAGAGAACGAAAGAAGAGAAAAAGAAAATGAAGAAGAGAAAAAGGAAGAGAAAAAGGAAGAGAAAGAAAGAGGGGCAAAGAAGAAAATGGAAAATAATGAAAATAAAAAATATTTGGATAAATGATAACATATAGTTGAAAGAAAGAAAGAAAGTTATGCATAACTCAAAGATGAAAGAAAGAAAGAAAGAAAGAAAGAATGAAAGAAAGAAGAAAAGAACAGAAAGAAAGAAAGAATTAATGAATGAGTGAGCGGTCAAATCAATTTGAAAGAACAATTACGTTGATGATATTTGTAGAAAAGACAGAAAAACGAGGTTAAGACAGTGAGAAAGTAATTGAAGCCGAGATGCCAGGTCAAAACCGATAATGTTGCAGATTTTAATATGTGTATATCTATGTGTTTTAGTGTGTTAAAGAGAGGGAGATCGGGAGAGAAAGAGAGACAAAAGAAAAGAGAGAGCGGGAGAGAAAACAGAGAAAGAGGGCGTGTGTATATTAATAAGAGAGAAAATCGGATAAGAGAGAGAGAGAGAGTATTTGTGTGTGTACGCGTGTATGTATAAAAGGTATATGTAACTGTATGTTAATGAGAGGGAGATAGAGAAAGAAAGAAGAGAAGCGAAGTGGAGAGAAGATATATATATATATATATATAGAGAGAGAGAGAGAGACAGAGAGAGAGAGAGCTTGTGTATGCTAATGAGAGAGAAAATAGGATAGAAAAGAGAGTGTGTGTGTGTGTGCGTGTGTATGGGTGTAGGATATATCTTTGTGAGATGGAGAAAGAGAAGAGAGAGAGTTTGTGTATATTAATGACAGAGAAGGGTATTTATGTAGGATATTTGTAACCGTGTTAACCGCGGAAATCAAAAGAGGAGAGAGAAAAGAGAGAGAGGGAGAGGACGTATGCTAATGAGAGAGAAAAGCGGATAGAAAAGAGAGAGAGAATATAGGTATGTGCATGTGTATCTATATAGGATATATATAACTGCATCTTAATGAGAGTGAGATGGGGAGAGAGAGAGGGAAGAGAGAGTGTGTGCAAATGAGAGAGAAGAGCATAGGAGAGAGAGAGAGAGTATATATACTAATGAGAGAAAAAATGTGAGCGTGTGTGCGCATGTATGTAGATTATCTGCAACTGTGTGTTCATGTGAGAGAGAAGTAGAGAAAGAGAGAAATAGGGAGAGAAGAGAGATCTAGAAAGAGCGTATGTATGTGCGTGTATGTGTGTGCGTGCACACGTGTATGTATGTAGGGTCCTGCCCCGGTGTGTTAATGAGCTAGAGAGACAGAGAGAAAGAGAGAAGACAATAGAGGAGAGAAGAGAGAGCTAGAAAGAGCGTGTATGTGTGTGTACGTGTATGAGTGTACGTGCACGCGTGTATGTATGTAGAGTATCTGTAACTGTGGGTTAATGAGAGAGAGATAGAGAGAAAGTAGAGGAGAGAAAAGAGAGAGAGATAGTGTGTGTGGGATGTGCCTGCACGTGTGTATGTATGTAGGGTCTCTGCTACTGTGTGTGTGTGTGAGAGAGAGAGAGAGAGAGAGATGGGGTTAAAGTAGAAGAGGAGAGAGAAGAGAGATAGAGAGAGAGTGTGTGTGCGCGTGCACGCGTGTGTGTATGTAAGGTTACTGTCACTGTGTGTTAATGAGAGAGAGATAGAGAGAAAGAAGGAAAGCAGGCCAGAAGTGAGAGAGAGAGAGAGAGAGAGAGAGAAAGTGTGTGTACAAACATCCTCTACCCTTTCTATACTCTTCTCTCTCCGTACCCCCCTCTCTCTCTCACTCTCTCTCTCTCCCTGTTCTCTCCTCCTCTTTTCTCTTTTCTCCCTCACTTGGTTTCCCTCTCTTTAACACATAGATACCCTACATAAATATACATCTATACAAACAAATTCTCTCTCCTCTTCGGTTCCTTATATCTCATTAACATAAATATACTCTTCTCTCTCGCTATCCCCCCCATCTCTCTCGCTCTTTAGTCTCTATCTCTTCTTTTCTCCCTCTCTTGGTTTCCTCTTACCTTACGTAAATACGCATATATACACACATATCCGCTTCCCTTCTCTCTCATTAGAATACACAAACTCTCTCTCTTCTCTCTCCATTTCACACAGTTACATATACCTACATACATGCACACGCACACACACATTCTCTACCCTTTCTATACTCTTCTTCCTCCCTAGCTCCACTCTCTCTCACTCTCTCTATCTCCCTCCCTCACTCTCTCTATCTCCCTCCCTCTCTCGCACACATACACATAACAAGTTATATTTCTAATCTACGTTTCCACTCGAATACACACAAATGTAAATGTCTAGATGTGGAAGACAGGGTGAGCGACCGAAAGTGAAAGACTATGCTGCAGAGGGAGAGGGAGATAGATAGATAGATAGATAGATAGATAGATAGATAGAGAGAGAGAGAGAGAGAGAGAGAGAGAGTGTGTGTTTTCTAAGCAGTAATGTCTCGTAATGTATCTACTTTTCAGCGAAGCGCCTATTAATGACCGTCGATAGAGCCAAGCCTTCTGTCATGAATATTCAACATCTCTAAATCCCCAGATTAAGAAAACAAAAATCCAAGTTGAAATCAATGGCGCATTGTTATCGATCAGGGTCAAGAAATTCCAGTCCCCAAGCTCTTTTGAATGTTTCTCACAAAAGGTTGAAAAATCGTCAAAGGAAGAACAAAAAATCCTTGCCATAGGGCAGTGGTTCCCAAACGAGATAGCGCACCTCATAGGTGAGGAGCAAGACAATAGAGAATAAATCACTAAAACGAAAACAAGAAAAATTGAATAAAAAAGCTTATTAAATAAATATTAATCGCAATACCTTGTAGGTCGTCTTTTTTAAACTTATATTTCGGAATCTGTAATCCTCGATCTTAAAAACAAATTGAAAGAAGCCACTTCGCCAATACAAAGACTGACAAAAATTAACGATAAGAAAAATTAAAACTACAGATAAACTTCACTTTCTTCAGTCATTCAATGCTACTAACAAGTAGTGATTTTTTTCTTCTGACAATGGCCATGCTGGCCGAAACTAGACGAGGAACCTAATTGAAATAATAAAGCAAAAAATAATTAATATATATAATTAAAATAATTAATATACACCCCATAATGTCTGATAAATTTAATATTTAATTTTTTTGTTCAAAACAGGAATATACAAAAGACTATATGTAAATATTGTGTACACTTTCTTGTTTCAATACATTTTGTTCTAAGTACATTTTGTGTTGCATTATTATTCCATGCATTAGTCAAGTTTCAACAATGGCGACGAGGTAGAAAGAACTATACGAAAAAAAAAAGAATTGATAACTGATAGCCTTCAACAATTGGGACAAGTCATTGAAGAACCCAGGCTGAAGGAAAAAATTATTAATTAAAAGTCCAACATCTAATGGAACGGCGAAGGATTCTGAATTTCTGGGTATTTAGAGCTCGTTAAAGGACGACTAAGCATAAAGGAACGTTCACTCAGAAAAATTTGAAAGGTGTCGTAAGCGAATAACGGCGATTTAAAAAAAAAACAAAAAAAAAAAAAACGAGCCGACTACAAAAACATGCATGGAATTAAAAGGCGCACAAATACATCGTGTCGACTTTGAAAGGTAACGAACTTTTTTTTTTGCTCAACAAATAGCGAAGACCTCATCCGGACAATTACTATGAAAGTATTTATAAAATAACAGAGAGATAACCTTTCAGCAGTAGAACAGTGACGGGAGCTGAGCCATCAGATCAGGACAACAAAAGAGCACAACAAATAATATAAAAGAAATAAAATAAGTGTTAAAAAAGTGTTAATTTCAGTATCTATCTATCTATCTACCTATATATATATATATATATATATATATATATATATATATATATATATATATATATATTATGAAATGGACAAAGTCTGACAATTATTTTAAGACATTTTTATGTTTATACGTTCTTTTTATAGATATAAATATTTAAGTTATTGCTCTGATCATAATAAACAGTATCAAACAACATTTACCGTCCTGAATGTCAACAATATCTTCATTTCAAGAGACATCACACAAAAAGCTGCCTAAAATCATCCCCTATTCTCTAGCATGTAGGGTTTGTACAATAATGACTGATAAACACCTCCGAAAAATCCGCTTAGAAGAACTACATAAAACTTATAAAACGAGGCTACCCCACAACACTAAGAAACAAAGGTTTTGAACTCGCAAAAAAAAATTCCTCTAGACCAACTTAGAAATAAAAAGGAACGTAACGTCGAACAAACTCTAGCATATGTCTCAACATACAATAAAAACAATCCAGAAATATTCACAGAAATTACAAAACCTACTTATAAGAATAATAAACTGAAAAATATACTGAAAACAACCAAAATAATTAAAAGCAAACGCCAATGTAAAACCTAAAATACATATTAACATCATCCAAATTTAACCAACGCACAATACAGGGAGTCACAAAATGCAACAAAAAAAGATGTGGGGTTTGTGACGTCATTATAGAAGGAAACTCGTACACTTTTGAAAATCCTAAAATGACATTCATCATAAATAAAAACTTAAACTACAACTCCAAAAATGTAATTTATGTACCCAAATACATAAAATGCAAGAAGTCATATATAGGCATCAGCCAACAACAGAACAACAGGGTCTCCCTGCACAAAAGCAACATAAAATTACCAATAGAAAACCTTTTGTATCACAACACAACTTTAAATGTAACCAGGTAAAAATTTAAAATTATGCCAATATATCAAACAGACAATTATTCGTACCTACAAATACAAGAAAAAAAACTTCATAAACAAATTTAAACCAGAACTAAATAGATCATAACACCACACGCAAAAGCACACAACATGCACGCATAGTGACCAAATACAGGGATCAAACCACTCACATATATGCATGCAGGCTCACATGCAGGGTGTTTATGGGTCACAAATATATATATATATATATATATATATATATATATATATATATATATATATATATACTCTCTAAATTCTGTTTTTATTTCCAGAGTTGTTTTTCTGTTTTCTTTTTGAATTTGTAGGTCTGATGAATTGGATCGTATTTACGATTCCAATGGATTAAATTATGACCATGGAATATTAGTGTTTAAG